TCAGACGCTTCAATACTCTTATATTTTATATTCATATTCATATTTAGGGGTTATATGGCTCCGGAATATATAGTTCGTGGTCAGTTGTCCGAGAAAGCAGATGTTTACAGCTTCGGAGTTCTAGTTGTCGAAATCGTATCTGGCAAAAGAAACAGTTCCTTTGTTTTAAATTCATCCTCTATCCTACAAGTGGTAACCGTTATCATCCGAAACTATTACATTCGATGCGTGTTTAACAAGAAAAGTTTTGTTACAGTCTAAAGGCTAATGATCATTTTCCTTATCTTCTTTTGTACAAGGTTTGGAGCCTCTATAGATCAAGTAGGCTATCTGACATCGTTGATCCGATCCTAGAGGGTAATTTTGGTCGAGACGAAGCATGTGGATTGCTTCAAATCGGGTTGCTTTGTGCACAAGCATCTGCAGAGCTGAGACCATCAATGTCAGTAGTTGTTAAAATGATTAATGGCAATCATGAAATTCCTGAGCCAACTCAACCACCATTTCTTAACTCTGGTAGTTCAGAATTCAGCAAATCTAGATATAATAATTTTCAACCTGGATCAAACACACCCTCTTCAGGGGACAACATGACTGAAAGTTTGATTGAGCCAAGATGAGTTATTTTCACTACAAAATATCTATGGTTTCAATTAGCAGAATTGCATTGTCCCTACTTATATCTCTGAATTGAAGGATCAGTAACATAACCACTTATGAATTATAGTCCAACATTTAGAGTGGTATCATCCCTAGTCCAAAAATAATGATTTCATTGTTATGCTGTGAAATTGAGGGAATGTACCATAGGCATGTATCAGATTGTTGAGTTTATTCAAGTGTAAAATCTCACGCTGGATATGAGAGGAGGAGCGAAAGAGTTTGTAAGTGAAAAAGACTCATAAAACTAATGTCTTAAGGTTTTGATACATGATGTCTCACTAGTGTTTTTTCACTCTTCCCATACCCCGTTAACAATAGAATCCCCTGTTGGTTGGAACAGTGGCAGATCTTGATCTAAAGTTTAGGGGGGCAATAATATTTAATTACAATTTATAATTAAAATTAATTTATTAACAACAAGACAAATATATTTATATATAATTGTTTCGAAGTTTCAAAATAAAATATTAATTTTAAATAACATTGAGTAACAAATAAAAATGTTTAATAAAAATGTGTATTCATTTGAAGTGCCGTTTTTTCGTTCTTTTAAAGACTTAAACTTATCGGTAATCGAATCAAAAGTAAAAATTTCAGTTATTTCATTTTCAATATAAAATTATAAATCATCATGTCATCGGTGAAAAACCATCTTGAATAATGATTGAATCAGTGTATGATATAACATAAATTCAGAATATATCAACAATATCTATGACTGCATTCCAATATGGAATAACGATATTGTAATATTAAATATCAATTGAGGAAATAAGAATATAACATTAAGAAAGTATTGGTGAAAATAACTTATAAACACTATATGAATTTATGAGTGATGAGGAGAATCATGCAACAAGTTTTTTTTTGGGTAACAAAAGCAAATACAATATGCACTCTCATTAGTGCAATGTTGGTATTTTTTGTTTGCATTACAACGTCAATGGAATCATGAAATTGTTTGTCAGCCGTGTGTGTTGTCCAAATGATAAATTAGATTTAAATTTAAACATCCACTTCTAGTTAAAGTAAATATTTTAATAAATTATGCATAATAAATATATTTAAAAATTTTACCAAAAAATATATAATTTTTATTTTGTAAAAAGTCAGGAGGAGTTGCCTCACCTGCCTATGAAAAGATCCGCCTCTATATTGGAGGCTCTCCGATCACAGTCGGATCCAACAACTTCGGCCACTTCACAAATACACGTCCATATTTTAACTATGTAACTTTTATTTATTAAAGTATTAATTTATAGCATGAAATTTATTAAAAAATACAAAATGATAAACACAACAATGGCTATCAAAACAGTTGTTATTTAAAAAAATATAAATATTTAAAATATGTCTTAGGTTTAGATATACATTCAGTCATGCTTCTATTTCTCCACTTAGGACGCCTACAGGAAAACATTTGCTAATTAAAATAATATTTTCACTATTCAGTTAGAAAATAAAATATGTATTTTAAAATATATGTCCACTAATAATTTTCAGAGTATTAAATAATTATTTTTTAATAATGGTATTACTAGGAGAATATATGGTGAGAGATAAGAAGAAAGTAAAATATGAACCATATATTATTTTTCTAATTTTGAATAAAATTAATTGCATTTCTTTTTTTTCTAAATAATTATTTTTTTAAAAATGATTTTAATCTTGGTGTGAAATATATACTTGTTAATATATTCTTGTTTGATGATAAAAAAGGAGGGTATTTTTTTAAGTCACCGACTATAAGTTTAATTACATAAAATGTGATTTATATCGTTAGGATATGTATCCTATTTTGTGAACTAATTTAAAAATAAATTTATTGTATATTTATATTTATAAAAAATAAGTAGATAATATTCATTTTTTTTTTTATATTTAAACAATATTCATTTTACTGTATTGACTAATCAAGAACAGGACACCAAAACTTTAGATATAAGAAGGTTAGAGGGGAAGTCCACATAAATTTACATTTCAATAAATAAAAAACAAATCATTTGATTAATATTTTCGTTTACAATAATAAGATTGTGTATATCTATTATTCTTTTATTCATTATGTAAGAATTTCAAATACTGAACTACTTTTTTGTTGGGACTATATATTTATATATGGAGATTCCAAAAAAAGTATTTTAATAATGTATCAAAATTATTAATTTTGTAAACTACTTTTTGTTCATATAATTTTTTTTAATGAAGAATGTTAATATTAACACACCTCTCTGAAATCTAGATTTAAAATCCAGATCCTAAAGCATAGAAGTGTTTGAGTAGTCCATATCCAAAAGTTAGTTTTAGTGGGGAAATTGTCCATATCATATAAAAATTCTTCACTCATTCCTTAGGAATTAATGGTTAATATAAATAATCAACTCAAGACAAATCAATCTTACTTTGCTGACCAATTAAGTTAATTAAATGGTTTATCATTGGGTATATAAATATTGAATTTATTCATGTCTGAATTTCATACGAGGGTGAGTAAAAGAATTTATAAGTAGAAAAATCTCATAAAACTAATATCTTCAGGTTTTGATTCAAGACATGATGTTTCACTTGTGTCTCTCAATTTTTTCCATACCCGGTAACAATGGAACTTCTCGGTGGTTGAAAATTTCCGAGTGGCATGATCCAATAAAGTCCATAAACTAAAGAAGCTTAGATGTTGGCATCTACTCATTTGAGTGGACACTAAGGCATTACATATATAGTAAAGTGAGATTCAAAAGAGGAGATGAAAAAAGTAATAACTAATTTATTTGTTTGCTTAAAGAAGAGGTAAGGAAAAAACAAGCTTAAGTGTATAGTCTAGCTGCTATTTTTGTTTGTGTAAAACTCATTTAGGGGTCTTCAAGGGAAGTTAAGATATTTTTAAAAAAGAAAGGAAAGGGGTATGTGATAGGGATTAAATGCTAAGTTAAACAATTTTTGGGTCAGGATGAAGGATCTATTGACTCAAAGAGTAAGTTTTTAAATTTACTCCACATCTTAACCATCAATTCTAGGGAAATCCAATGGTTTAGATCTCCTACTAATTCAAACTATTGAATTTCCCTAAAATTGATGACTAAGATATGAAATAAGTTTAAAAAACTTACTCTTACAGTAAGTGAATCCTCACTCATATAATACATCCAATTTTTTTTTTTTAAGAGATTTTGAACCTCAAATGAGAAAGAACGGATTTTCGACAAGTTGCAAAGTACCAATAAGAAGAAACAAAAATGGCCTATTGTAGCTTTGCTGTGCTGGCATGGCTTGTGACCAATAATAAGATTAGTGGAAGATGAAGTAATATAATTATATATGATTGAAAGAAAAGTGGGGATGAGAATCAAATATTGGATTCACTTATTCATCAAAAGAAACATATCCAATAATCAAAAGTTAAGGACAAATAAAAAAGTATAGGGTCGGTACGCATGTTTCAAAGTTTATTTTACGAGGGAGGAAATTGACTTAATTAAAAAAATTACTACATATCTTAACCATTTGAAAATCAAATTATTTGAATTAGTTAATAGACCTAAACCATTAAATTTTCATAGAATGAATGATTAAGATTTGAAATATATTTTTAAATTTGGTACTTAAGTAGATTTCATCCGATCCGATTTTATTATATTGAAAGTTGTATACATAATTCAAAAATTTCAAGTAGATATATCTTGTATGGAAATATGACATGCTTTACTCATGCTTTACTAATAATTAGAGCAATTGCAATACGTAAGATGTAGATTATGAAAACTTAGGTAATGGCCAACTTGGATTATAGTGAAATCCACATTAAAATAATTCATAACTTTAAGGAGAAGGTCATGCTCCCCACATGTTTTTGTCACTTCTTCACTTTGTTTAACTATCATTTTCGTCTCAATAGTAAGGGTATTAATAATTATTCACATTTAAACCAAAAGCATAAAATAGATGATAATTATTGGAAATTAGATTTATTTCCCTTCATGTTTGATTTAATTACACTACTTATATCTATTATTTTAAAAGTTACACTTACAACCTTTAAAATTTAATTATTTATAGATAATTATAATTACACTAACCCCACATGTGGTTTAAAAACAAAAGTATCTATCTTATCCTAATTCGGTGTAGATAATATAAAATAAATGGATGCATTTATCAATTAATTTTATTTTAATGTACACTAGATTGTTTGTTAGCTTTCATCACTTTCTACAATTGCAACTTTTGATGGTTTGAAAGCAAAAGTAAGAATCAATGTATTTGAATAATGAATAGAGGATACCACTTCTTCTAAGTTTTCAACCTTATTTCTCCACTAGCTTCTATAAAACCATTTAGGCATGGAGCTTAATGGCATATAAAAGAAGCATAGAAGGGACAGTGTTAAAGGGTCCTCACCCTTCACACTACTCCTTTCATATGGAAAAGTTTTCTGTATAACAGAAGAAAGGAAGAAGAGAAGCTAGCAATGTTCAAAGGAGTAGAAGAGGCTTTTGGCTACAGCTTGGCAAACCGGCAAGTCAGAAAAAGGCAATGGATTCCATTAGGATCCACTTGCGAGTTGAGTTTTGGAGGAGAATGAAAGGAAATAGAAAAATAGAAGACTTTAGAGTTATCTCATAGTATATTTTATGGTTCTAAAACCTTCTATTTCATTTTATTTCTCTCCAAAATCTAACTCGCGATTAATCATGTATCACTTTATTTTAATTTTTCATGTTGTAGAAAGTAAGGATGAAATATACTATTGTTTATGTTTGGTGTGAGTTCTCTTTTCTGTGTGTTTTCTCTTCCCCATTAGGAGTCCTTTTTTCGGGTCTGTTATGACCTTACAAGCAATAAAATAATAACATGTTAGATTTATGTTTTAAATGGAGGCTGTTGTTGTAATTATGATTATATCATTGTAACTTTGTAAGTGTGATTATTGTAGTACTAATTACCTAGAGTTAATATTTTTTGTGATTGAAGATTTGTTTTTAAATATGGTATGGTTTGATAGATCCCGATGCAATACTAGGAATACTAAAAGTTACAATGCTTTGAATAGAATATAAAAGTGCCACTAAAAGAAGGGGTCTAAGAGTAAAGAGGGGCTAACCTAACACAAAGGTTGTCATCTCAATCAAGATAAGATTTGTCTATCCTTCCTTTGATCCAAAGCCAAGATTTCATCTTCACGTTCTCCATTGTGTTGGATTCACCTTAGAAGAATTAAAATTGACCTCGTCCACACAACTTCTGTCCCACAAAAGTGTGTCACTCCATGTACCATTATTTATGATCGATTGAAGAAAAATATATTTAAGTTAAAAATTTCATAATTAAGTATTTCCCTTACCAATCACAATCACTGACACATGAAGTGATACACCTTTTGGGACAGAAGATGTCCACCCTCTTTCCTTACCAGCCAAATTAACAATGAAAAGCCAGATAATGCTCCAAAAAATTGAGGCACTTTTTGTTAAGTAGAAGATCCATGTGCATGTATCATAAGTAATGTGGTGATGTTGATTATAAAAGCTTGATAGACCTATTTCCCAAAGGTGATAAGAGAAGATAATGACCATGCCTTTCTCTTGCATTTTTTGATTTTATGGAACTTGCAAGAATTTCATGAAACTCAAAAGAAAAGTAAGATATCTTCACTATACACAAATCAACAAGTAAAAAATTTAGTGGATGTTATTAAACTCGGACAGTGATTCACTCAGTCAATGTATTAATAGTTGGACTAGTTAACTCGGTACACATTAAAAAAATCTAATAAATTAATTATATAATAATATTGAATAAACTTTTATTTCAAATATAAAAACTTATCATTGTATAAGTATCTGATTAAACAATCAACACAAAAGACTTTACAACCACAAAATATCACAGATAAGTTAAAAATATTACCAAACAACACATGTTTTACGTTTTAATCGAAACAAAAATGCAAAAATAACAACTATAATTACAATAATAATAAACAATATTCCAAATAATTGAAAGTACCATATTTTTTGATTTTTTTTAAACTAGTTAAATTGACCAACTAGAATCAATCCAACTGATCGAGTCATTGATTTATGCTCAAATTAACCAAGTTGAACCGATTCATATCATTTTTTGTGCATGAGTAACACTAAATTGTCCAATTCCATTTAAACCAAAAGGAGAAAATCAATTGACCCAAATACTCCCTCTCATTAATGATTCTCTACATGCATTTTCATAGTAACACTAAATTGAACAATTTCAAATCTACTCCCAATTAACCTATAATATTTTTCTGTTTTCTTCACACTCACCACACATAAATCTTTTTTTTTTTGAGATTATTAATAACATTTATAATAAACATATATGCTATATAATAGACATATATGTTTTATAATACATTTTTTCAATATGCATAATGTCGAGGAAATGTCTTGCATATAATAAACTCCAATATGATAATTTAAAGAAGATTTACTTTTTCTTCCACCCATTTGTAACCATTTCTCCAGAAAAAGGTTTACCAAAGATAATATTCAAACCCTTTAGCTTTTGAAATAATTGATCACCCATTAACGGCAAAGGAGCACGACCTTCTTCATTGTTCTCATCAAATGCTTTTCTTAATCGTCGATAGTGATGATCTGAACACAAAAATATACGATGAACATTCTTATAATGTTCCAACCTCGTTGAATGAGTATTGTCTTCACATACATGACATAAAAAATGTCCTTTTGAACTATATCCTTTCAGATTACCACATGTGGGGATATCACTAATAATCGTGTCAAACAACAAAGTCCTCAAGTTGAACTTTTTTCCTATGCGCATCATGTACATCTATACATGTCTCCCACATTTTCTTTAAGTCTTTAATAGATGGAGCCAAGTATATGTATATGTCATTTCCTAGTTTAGGTTCAGAATAACATAGATAACATCATATATTTGCACTTCATGCATAAAGAAGGAGGTCGATTGTATATCACCAACATCATTAGTCATGTAATGTGGGTGCTACTTTGAACAGTATGTGGGTTAATTCCATTAGTTGATAATACAATGCGTAAATTTCTTGATTCTTGACCAAAACTAGGATACTCATGATCAAATTTTCTCTATTGAGGTGAATCTGCAAGATTGTTGATTCTTCTATCCTATTTCAGATTATGGGTTTCTTAATTCCATGGTTTTGATTTAGGTTTGTGAACTAATTTTCGATTAGTTAATCATTTCTCTAGTGCATGATCGCTTAGTTCATGTGAATTTGTTAATTGTTTTGTGCTTAAGCTGATTTCGCTTAGTTAGAGACTTAGGCATTCGAACTGTGAATTGATTATCGCTTAGTTAATTGATTATCAACAAATTAGGAATTCAATGTTTATAAGCTGAAATTGATCTTTTGGTTTATGTGAATTTGTTAACTTTTCTGTGCTTATCTTGATTTCGCTTAGTTAGAGGCTTAGACAATTGAATTATGAATTGATTATCATTTAGTTAATCGATTCTCAACAAAAGATTGTAAGGACCCGATTTTCATAACCCGAAAATTCTTTTTTTAAAACCTTATTCATGAAAAATGATTACTTTTGAAAGACATTACCTGAACGTTTTGGAAACTTGAGTGAATACATTTATAAATTACAAGGCGAAAATATTCCAAATACATTTATTTTCAAAAGCATGTTATTGCATTTCCTTTCAAATACATAATCTAAACAATTATCCATTCTTAAGGAACACTTTTAATACAAATATTAAATAATCTTCCTTATACATTTAGGAGCAAGTTACCTATACATAATTTCACTTTAACATGTTCTTCATATTACAAACATTTATCATATAACATATCGATCACATAAAGCCCTACTCTACCATGTACTCTTCTCCACAATCGTCCGATGCGCTACCGCCACGACCTGAATTCAAATACGCAACACATACAAGGAAAGACAGAGGGAGTAAGAACCAACTACGACGACAGTAACGTGGATTTACATGGAGTAATAACATTAAAGTTTTAACACCACACACATCTAACATCAATCATGATAAACATATACCAATCAACACATATTATCCATATTCACCCTATAGTACACATATATCCCATACTATATGTGTTCAATAGTGAGCATATTTATTCGTCACATATTATCCATATTCACCCTATAGTACACATATATCCCATAATATATATGTTCTATAGTGTGCATATTTATTCGTCACATATTATACATATTCACCCTATAGTACACATAATATCCAATAATATATATGTTCTATAGTGTGCATATTTTATTCATCTCATTTTATCCATATTCACCCTATAGTACACATATATCCCATAATATATATGTGTTATAATGTGCATATTTTATTCATCCAAACATACTCATTTCTTATCATTCATATTCACCCTATAAGATATATATCCCATAATATATATCATATGGCATGCATATGATTTTCATTTCGATTATACACTTTTCACATCATTCACATTCCGTAGTAATTTACCTTTGATCTCTTTCAACAATTCGGCACCGTACAAATAATCATCTACCACATCGGGCAGGTCGAGTAATTCCCCATACCACATTGGGCAGGTCGAGTAATTCCCCATACCACATCAGACAGGTCGAGTAATTCCCCATACCACATCGGGTAGGTCGAGTAATTCCCCATACCACATCGGGCAGGTCGAGTAATTCACATTATCCTCACATCTCATGTTCGTCATAGTACAAATTATCAACTCAATGTCATACACCGAATAAACACAATACATCACCTTCATTGTCACAAACATACCTTATCCATTTTAACACCTTAACAGGTCATCACACATTCATTGTTACAAATACACTCATACATGTTCATAACAAATCAACAACTCACAACATACTCCTTTTGATAAACATACTCATATCCAATTTAACACATTAACAGCTCATCACTCATTCATTGTTACGAACACGCTCATACATGTTTATAACAATCAACCACTCACAACATACTCATTTATGTTTATGACCATAAATAACTCACACATCATCATTATCACACAACATGACCATTATCATAAACGAACCACACATAACATATCCTTCATCATATACACATTAACGTTAGAACCATCTTTAATGACTGTGTATTACCATAAATGAGCATATAGCGTTTTACTTAAATAAACGGTTTTCCCCACACATATATCTCCACTTTTATGGTTAATACATCCTCATGTAACATAAAGACTCTCACATGGACCACGAACTCCCAAGGGAATTTCTATCCTTTAATATGCTCCGATTCTTGAGGGAAATCGGAGATGATGACTCTAATGAAATACTCTAAGACCACAATGATCTTCTCCCTCACCTTAGGTTGCGTAAGCTCCATGGATCCGCAAAGAGCTTCATCTTCATCCATCTCCTTCAACCTCCATTGTTGTTTTTCATCTCCAAAGCTCTCAAATGTTCCATTTTGAAGTAAGATGAAGATGTTTTGATGTGTTTTTGAGTTTTAGGGGAGGAAAGAGTCGAAATCCATGAGGAGCCGCCATTGGAGTGAAATGGGAGAAAAGAAAAATGAAGATTAGGGTTTGTGAAACTCTCTCTTTACTTTTATAGCTGGGCACTCTCGCCTGGACGAGAAACCCACGATATTTTAAGTTTCCAGACACGGGCTCTCTCGCCTGGGCGAGATTCTCTCGCCTGGGCGAGTTTCTCTCGCCTGGGCGAGTTTCTCTCACTCAAGCGAGAATTTCACAGTCTGCCCAGACTTTTTTCTCGCTCAAGCGACCCATTCCTCGCTTGGGCGAGACTCCCAGAATTTCCAAATTCAAAACACTGATCCTCTCGCTTGGGCGAGATTCTCTCGCTCAAGCGAGAATCTGGCAGTATGCCCCATTCTTCAGAACTGTTACCTAATTTCAAGGAGGATAAATTTGGGGTGTTACAAAGATCACTTAGAATCTAAAATTGATCTTTTGAAATCGAGGATTGATTTGTGAACAAAGA